GGCGGGGTACCCGCCGAGGTTCACGAAGGTCTCAGGAAACGGTGGCGGCCCCCAAATCCCAGCCGTTGGGTGTCTGATCCCTGCGCTCACGTTTCCGAAAGCCCCGGGCCATCGCTCGGGAGGTTCCGAAAGTCCCCGAATACTGGCGGGGCGTTTCCGACGCCGCCTTCGAACCGGAAGCTATGGGAAGGCTTTGGCCGCTTCGGTGTCACTTGCTGGGATCGTGTGGACCCGGCCCCCGGCCTGTGACGGTTGGTGGCGCCCAGCTTTCGGCGGAGAGTTCGGCCCAGCCCTGCTCTGCGCTTGCCGCCTCGAATGCTCTGGTCTTTCTACTTACGCCGCACGCCTCGCCCGCTGGGCCCGAGTCCCGGTGGCTGCAAAGATCCTGGCCTAGGGTCGGGAGGCAGGTCTGAGCGCAGCTGCACCGGGCAGCCGACCTCCTCGGGCACGCCGCTCGGGCGCCGTTTCGCCATGGATTGGACATGATTCCCCGTGAGCCCCTGACATGCCGCCACTGCCAGTTCTGCTGGGAAACTGGCCTTTCCCTTAGGCCACTTCCTCCGTCACCCGCACCCCTCGATCTCTGCCGTGCTCTGCGCCTCCCGCTCGTCACACTGCCACCTCTCCAGATCTCCTTTCCCATTTCCACTTTTCTCTTGTCTCCCGTGTCCGGAGGTCTGCGTCTGGTGCACACTTTCCCGCTCCCGCCTGTGTGACGCCCGGCAGGGCCCTGGGCTTCTGGGCCCTGCCGTCCGCCCAGGGCCCTGCCGTCCCGGAGTCCCTGTGGCATCCCACACCTGCCCACTTCGTGGGGTGGGTCAGGTGAGACGGGGGGCTACTTTGGAAGCTGGAGTTCTGTGAAGAGTACATTAAGGAGTGGAAGGACTTGAAATTCGGCTACTTCTTTTTTCGGACCTTTACCAAGGCTTACTCGGTCTGCATAGGCTTCGTAGCCATGTGCTGGAGTGCGCGGTTAGCCCTCTAAGGTAAAGCGAAACACGCTGCGACTTCAGGGTGTCACAACGCTCCAAGCTCAGATACTCGTGCAATCGAACATTGCCAAGAACGTGGGGTGGGAAGAACAAGGTGAGGGATGCAGTAGTGGGCTCTGACAGTGTGGCATAACGCTTTCAGGGGCCACTGTGGTGCAGCGCTAATGATCTCTTCAAGAGGAGCCAATCCCACAAGGCGACCCTGGTTCAAATCCCCACCAGGTTAGTGAAGCAAGCTGAGCACCCAGGCAAGTACCTGGGATCCAGCGGGGGAGGACTGGAGGAAGGGGAATCACAGTGTGACCAATCCCACGGAGGGGTCTGTCTCTCTCTGCCACACTGTGGCAAACTGAACAGTCCCTTCCCTGCCCAGAAGCCATCTCTGCTTCTTGGCTGTAGCTGATGGCTTCCATGTAGGAGTTCCAGAACTTACCATCTTTTTAAAGAACACTACAAAGGACCAGCAGGTGGCATGGTGGTTAGGGTGCTAGACTGTCACATAGTCAACCAAATCGTTCTGCCAGTCAATGATACTCGGAAGCACATTTCGGCTGGTAAGCTGCCTGTCTGCACCCTCTGACCTAGGCAGCATCCTAATGGCCTCTGATTGTCATCACAGACCTTAGAAGACATTTGAGCTTTGTGTGTGTGTGTGTGTGTGTGTGTGTGTGTGTGTGTATGTGTGTGTGTGTGTTAAACGTCACCAATTATTGGCTTGCCCTTTCCTTTAAAACTGTTCTTCTGACCTTTATTTTGCCTCTCAGAGCAGTGCTGTTCAATCAAATATAATCTAAGTCTTGTGTATAATTTTAAATATTCCTTGGGACTGGCAGGTGGCATGGTGGTTAAGGGTGCTGGACTCACGTGGCCGACTGCAGTTTGAGTCCCAGACCTGGTGGCTTGCTTTCTTGCTCTCTCTCTCTCTCTCTCATTGTATCCCTCTCTGGTCAAATTGAAATAAATAAATGAATGAATAAATAAAGTTAAATAAAATAATTTTTAAAAATTTAAAATACAGGACCAGCAGTTGGTGTAATGGCTATGTCACTGGACTCCCATGTAGTC